TCCAGATCACCTTGTGCCTGTGGAAGGACAAAGGGCTTGAGACAAGATGCATTTCACAGCATCATATTTGGTCTCTTTTCCTGGTAAACATGGAGGAAAGAGAACAAGAGGCCCAATCCGAGTTTGCCTGGATGCAAGAAAATCTGGTGTCTAAATGCCACATTTCTTGGGACTGTATAATAATCTATAATAGTGGAGCATCATAACAAATAGTGTAACAATTTCATGATGATAACCTATACTTTCAAGAAACCCATGAAATGTAGAATTCAGAGATCTCCAGCATTAGCCTCTGAGAACGATTCACAAACTCAATTCTCGATTCAAAGAGATTGGCACTTCTGACGTTTATGCGTAAATAGATCTCAACCAATCTCATTAAATATCCAATCCATGTTCAAAGTTATTAAATAGTGAACATGATTTAATAAATACAACCAAGTTAATCAAGACTTTGATTGGTGGTTGTGGGTTCATAAAAAGCTTGTGAAAGAGTCATTCCTCTTGAGTTTTTCCTGATCCTCTGTCTCCCTCCCCTGTCTTTAAGTGAGTGTAGGAATTGTATTATACGTGCATGTAGGCGTTTTTTGGGCTGTGTTGGTGTATATGTAGGAGTGTTGGGTTGTTATCTCTTAGAAATTTGTGTCCTGGGCAGGGTTGTTGTGTGGGGGCATATTTGAGGATGTGCTGAGTGTACTGTGTTAGTGTGTGTTATGTGAGCAGATGTAGCACTGGTGAGTTGCCTTAGATTCTGCCTGCTCCACAGTTTCTTCTTTGCACCTTGTCAATGGCTAGGACCCAGGGATCCCACAGTCCCCTCTAATTCTTTGGAAGTATCCAAAGATTGCTTTTTCTCACGGTTGTGCAAGGGTAGAGTTGGCCCTTTGCTTGCCTTACCCTAGTCCCAGCCCTGCAGTGAGAGACACTATAGCATCGAGGACAGAGCTTTGAAAAGGCTGGAGTTCAAATTTTGGTTTTGTCACTTTCTAGCTATGTGGCCTTGGGTAAGTTACCTCTTGGACCCTCAGTTAACCCTTTTGGAAAGGGGGATAATAATGCCTGGTGTATAGCATTGTTGGGAGTTTTAAATGAGATCATGTATAGGCCTTATTAATAAATTGTAAATATTTTACTTATTCTTTTTACAAGGCAAGGCCCAATGTGAGGCTTCATAATAGACATGAAGGTAAATAAGACCCCAAATCTTAGAGTCTGGTGGAAAGATAGACATTTTCTCAAGTGCTCTAATATGTCAGGTGTCACTTGAGGAGTTTAAAAGACCCTGCAAGGGCTTCCCTGGTGGCACAGTGGTTGAGAGTCCGCCTGCCGATGCAGGGGATACGGGTTCGTGCCCCGGTCCGGGAAGATCACACGTGCCATGGAGCGGCTGGGCCCGTGAGCCATGGCAGCTGGGCCTGTGCGTCCGGAGCCTGTGCTCCGCAGCGGGAGGGGCCACAGCAGTGAGAGGCCCGCATACCGCAAAAAAAATAAATAAAAAAAAAATAAAATAAAAAAAATAAAAGACCCTGCAAGTTCCAAAAATCTTTCCACCACTCACAGATTCTAGCCATCCCTGGCGTGTGTTGGGTGTTCCTCCCTGGGACTTTGAGCCAGAGCTCTGCAGAAAGAGGGAGGGGAAAAGGGGGATCCCTCAGCAAGGAAAGGAGAGAGAGGGAAGGAAAACGAAGGGAATTTCCTGCACACTTGAGCAAGGAAAACGTGTGGACTATCATGGTCTGAGCCTGGACATTCTGCCCAGCAACGTAGCCTTCTGACAATCTACTTCTGAGGAGGAGGTGGTCTTCCTACCTTGGTCACCAGAGTTTTGGCCTCCTCACCTCCCACCCCTGTCCAGGCTGAAGTGTGCAGAGGTGGAAATGGAACTGGGTTTCAGATGCCACCCCCCTGGAGAAGATACACTCTGGAGCCCGGTAGAAAAAAGCATTAGAGAGGCTGAGAGGAGAAGGTAGAGGGTGGGAGCCAGGGCTATGAAGTTAATTCTGCTTGGGCTCTACTTGCTTTCTGTGTGACCCTCAGCTAGGGAATTCTCTCTGAGCCTTGGTTTCCTCCAAGAGATGAGGATGATAGCAGTGCTGACCTCATTATTTTTCCCATTTTGCAGATGAGAACATGGAGGCATAAATGAAGTCACCCACTCAAGGTCACATAGCTAACAAGTGACAGGGCCAGGATTTGAACTCAAGCAGATGCTTCCAGGGCTCCTGCTCTCAATCACCTCATTCGACTCCTCTGTTTTAATGTCTTCTTGCTCGGTTAGAGTGTAAGCTTTCAGAGATCAGGGCTTATAGCTTAGAATAGTGGACTTTAGTCTCCAGTTATACCTTCAGATGAGTAGAGCGGTCCTAGATGTTGTCGTAACTCCAAAATAAACTTGTTGCAGTTGGGTTGAATATTATACAGCAATAGGATGTGCAAAGCAGTGCTTCCCATAAGCAGGCTCTCAGGGACTGGCAAACGAATGATGGATGGCGGGCTCCAGCGTGACCTGGAGCTGACCCTCAGAGATATCTGCTAAAAGTGTTCCTGGCTCTGTTGGGACATGTGTCCTTGGAGGCCTGCCAGCTGGGTGGAGAAGGTGTAGCTTTATAGATCCGTGTGGCTTTTTAGAGTATGACAGAAAACCAGGCAATCCTCAGCCCCGCGTGGAGGGGGCCAGCAACACTCAGCCACGCAATTCACACCTGGCAGCATGGGAGTGTGTGAGAGAGAGACAGGGAAGTGGGTTGCTTCCCATGCATTTGCTTGCTGAGTGGGGGGCAATGGTTATCCAGGAAGAACTGCCCACCTCCCCAAACCTGTTAGAACTGAAGTTTGAGAAGGTGGGAGTTGCAACTCATAATCCAAAAGGGAATGTGAGGATGAAGAAAAGATATTCAAAAACCTATCTTGTATTATATTAGTTGCTAACAGTTATCCCGTGCTACTACGTGTAATATTTCCTCACAGGGCTCACCGTAATGTTATCATTCCCATTTTACTGATAGGGAAACTGAAGCTGGAGAGGTTAAGTGTCTGTCCAGTGTCATAATTAGTAAGTGGTGGAGCAGGAATACAAACCGAGAAAGTTAGAACCCATTCTCTTAACATTTAGCATCTCTGATACCCACAAACTGCATTGCCTGAGAGCTGGAGAAACCCTTATAGAACATCTATTTCAGCCTCTTCAGAGTCAGGTGGGAAAACGAAAGGCCAGAGAGGGGCAGCGATGGACCAAGGTGACACAGGTGGTTGGTGATAGCCCTAAGATTTGACTGCACGACCCAGAGAGTGAGCACCTCCTTGAATTTTGTGCCCTAGGTGTGTCTCACTGGCTTCAACCTGGCCCCAGTCCTGACCAGACTCTCCTTCTGGTTGTGTGGTGTGAACAACAGAGGCCGAGGCATGGGTTTAATTATTTGATTTGATGTCCCAAGGCAGGTAACTCGGTGTGATATTTGTGTGGGGTTTTGTCAATATCCCAAGGTAGGTTTCTACCCAGGGGCTGGATGGAGGGTCTGCTTCTGGTTGGTACCACGGAAGGGACAGTACTGAAGGGGAACAAACTCTGGCCTCAGCAATTAGGGATGAAAGTAGGAGAATCATGATCCTGTCTTGACAAAGCAGAGCTGCAGAACGGGGTCCATGGGAACCGGAACCCTACACCTCTCCTCTGGATCCCACTGGGCTGAAATGGGGAAGTGCCAGGAAGAACTTCTAGGGGTGGGACTTACCCCATCAGACCCAGAATGAAGTCCATTATCAATGGTTGAACTGAGAGGGCTAGGTGCTCAGACACATGTACAGACATGCATTTCCCAAAGCCTCAGACAATGTGTCTGCTTTATTCACAAAATAATTATTCTCCTGAGGTGTGTACAGCACCTTTTCCAAGTCTGGGCCTTCCTGCTCTCAATGTAGTTCAGGGAGAAAAGGAGACAAACCACACAAGCAAAGCACCCTGCTGCTACTCCATCCCTGATAAGCAGTAGTCGGCAAGTCCCTCATTGCTTGGAGGAGCGCGGGTGGGAAGAAGGGGTTCCCTTTGTTACTTCCAAGCCAGGTGCTCCCTTCTGCCTGGCTCAGACCCCCTAAGAATATTGTGCGGGCAGTGGAGTGGCGTAAGGTGCTGTTGGAGCGAGAAGGCTTCCTCCTGGTGGCCCTGGGAGCTTGGGGCTGGGGCCAGGCAGAGAGGCTGGAAGCAGTGGATGGGCCTCTTGTCAGCGGAGGAGTCCTTCCCAGGCTGCGAGGAGCAGTGATGGTCTGGGCCTTGCCTCTGGAGTAGACCTCAGCAAGGCAAGTCCCTGCTCTCTTCTCTCAGGGCCTCAGTTTCCTCATCTTACCCGGCATGGCTCAGCTGGCCTAGAGGCCTGACAGTCTGAGTTCCCGGCCTTCTTGCCCGCCCCCTGCCCAGCTGTTTCTCAAGCCCTCGTCTCCAGCCCTGGCTCGTCCCTCTCCCTCCTTCCTCAGCCTGTCACCAGCACGGCCCGGGGGCTCCCCCGGTCCTCCTGACCCCCGGGGGGATCGCCAGACCGGAGCTGGGAGACGGAGGCGGAACGCAGGCCACTCTGACCCACCCGAGGGAGAGGGGGAGTAGGGATGAGAGAGGAGGGCAGACACAGGAGAAGGTTAAAAGGAGGAGAAAATAGCGAAAAGAGATAGAAAGGGGCAAGAGAGAGAAAGGAGGAAACGGAGAGAGACGAGGGAATGAACGTAAAGTTGGGGGGTGGTGGTGGAGGGAGGTGAGAAGAGGGACTGGGAAAGGTTCAGAGAAAAAGGAAACCAAAGGAAGGCTGGAGGGAGACACTGAAAGAGGAAAAAGAACAAGAGCGAGAGCGAGAAAGCAGGGTCTGAAAGGACCGAAGAGGGAGAAGGAGAAAAAAAAAGAGGCGGTGGGTGGGGGGAGAGAACGGAGGGAGGGAGCCACGAGCAGGGAGGAGGGAGGCTGGGAGGGAAGGAGAGAGGGAGGGGCCGAGGGACGAAGCGGGTGGGGGCTGGCTCGGCGGCGGCGGCGGCAGCGGCAGCGTCTGCGGCTCCAGCCGCGCGCCGGCTCGCTCACTCTCTCGCGGTGCGCGGTGCCCGCCGCCCGCCGCCCGGCTCTGGGCTGCCCGCTCGCTGCTCCGGCTGCTGGTCCGGCGCGGCTCAGGCTCCGGAGGACAGGACCGCGACTGGCCGACTGAGCCCCGGGCGGGCCGCGAAGCAGGTAGGTGGCTGGGCGGGGACGGCAAGGATGCGGAGCCTCGGAGCGCTGTGGGCACAGGGGGACGGGGTTTGGGGGTTTTGATCCCGGGGAACGGTCTTTGCATCCCCGCGACTAACTTTACACCAGCCCCGTGGATTCCCGCTGCCCTGCCGGGGTCCGGGCTGCGGAAGCCGAGTTTGGCGCGGGAGGAGGTGAGTGCCGGTAGAACGCCAGGGGTCGGGGCAGGATGTGGAGCGCCCCGGCGTGGGCAGGCGCGGACTCCCTGGCCTCAGTCCGGACGCAGCGCCCGCGGCGAGGGAAAACCCGAGCGCAGCGGCGCGGCGCGGTTGTCCCAGGGAAGGCGCCCGCCCTTCTCTGAGTCTCGGGACTCCCGCCCCCGAAGCCGCCCCGAGACGCCCGGGAGAGCCGGGGTCCGGGCGTAGAGCCTGCGAGGCGCGGCCAGGTCCCCCGAGGTGGCCAGCGGTGCGCCTAGCTGCCGCTGAGCCCCGGGCGGTACCATGTGCACTTTTGCTTTTTAGAGGCGCGAAATTGTACGTATACCCCTTTCCTGTCTTTCTCATCCAGTCGTCCCGACTCTAAGGGGAAGTCCGAGTCGACTCCCCGGACGTCCCTCCTGCCCTCGGCGGCGACCCCAGCTCCCGAAGTTAAGAGAAGCTAGTCACTCCCAGTGCGCGCCTGGAGCGCGGTTCCGAAGTTCCCAAGTTCTCGCCTAGCCCTGGGCGGTGGTGTTGGAGGTGGAGCGGGTGGCGGTTGTGGTCCCTTGGAGCAGCAGAACGCAGCCGCCTTCCTCCCGCGCTTGGTTTATTTTCCTTATTTGTTTGAAAAAATACGACGAAAACCACGCAAAATCGTTCCTCGCGGGAGTCAAGGTCTGTGAGTGGGACGGAGCCGTCACCCGACCGGAACCTGGGTGGCTCCGCTTCAGGATCTCCCGCTCCGTACCGTCCTCCCCCCCCCCCCCCCCCCCCCCCCCCCCACGGGGACGCAAAGAGCAAGGCCTCCAGGAGGTTGGAGGAGGCCTTTAGGTGGTTTGGGCTCCGGGCCGTCTCTGCTCGCTCAGGCCATGGTACTCGTGCGCGAGCATCATTGCCCCTTCCACACTCTGCCGGGAAAGTAGGGGTGTCGGCAAGCGAAGGCTGGCCGGGTGTTTCGCAGCCTGCTGGGGGCACGTGTCCTCTCGTTCCCGGAGTCCGGGAGGCCGGACTTAACTCGGTGCGGCTTCCGCGGAGGTCGCGGGGAGTGCTGTTGGAGAGGTTCTTTTGAAGGGTTTAGAGCAGCTTTAGTGGGACCGAGAGTTGGGGGCTTTGCGGAGAGGGTCCCTCGGCCCTTGTCGCCTTACAGTTGGGCGGGGTCCCCGCAGGGCGTCGAATCGACCGTCTACAGACACTCCATCTTCAGCTCCTTTGGCGGGTTTTTCCCTGGTTGCACATCACGCACCAGCTCTCTCCTTAGATCATATGCTGTTTAAGCCGCTAGAAATTCCAGGTCCGCGACTGCAGTCTCCACCTCTTCCTCCCAACTCACAGATCAGCAAACGGAGGCACAGAGAAGTGAAAGGATTCGCTTAGAGCTAGTTAAGGGTGTGAGGGAATGTAAACCAGGTCTCCTGACTCCTAGTTCAGGGCTTTTTTTCTAGTACTCTGTGCTGTCCTTACCACTTTCTCAGCACAGGGCAAGTGTTCCCAGCCAGGCCACTGTAAGGCCTTCGGAGGCTGCAGGACTGGGTGTGTGTGAGGTTAGAGGTAGAGGACTGGTCTCTTGTCAGGTGCTGTGCTGTGATCATCCCCCAGGATAAATCACTTAGGTGACAGTTGGTTGCATATCTATCCTGCCCCTGCACTGAAGTCTGGGGGTAAAGGAAACCCTTAAGACTCGGCCCAGCCCCATAAAGTACAGTCCACAGGGAAAGAGCAGCCACTGTTTTGTAGTCAAGGAAGGCTTCCCAGGTGAAATCACTGTTTGGAGGGGGCAGGATTAGGGATAGCACCTGGAGAAGGGATGATTTGGAATTGAGTCTTGGGTAGATTTCTAATTGAGGGAGAAGGATCATGGGGCACGAGGCTTGAGTCCTAAGAGGTTAGAAAAGCTCTCCTTAAGTGTCTGGTCAAAAGACAGTAGAGTCAGCACCAATGAGAATTTGGCCTTTGAGTGAGAAGCATGAGAGCAGCTAGAAGACCCAGCTGCTTAGAACTCAAGCTCAGAAGCTGTGGTCAGTGCCTGATCACCCTTCAGCTCCGGCCCCTCCCTGCACAAGGATCCTAATATCAAAAAACCAAACCAAAAAAAACCAAAAAACCCCAAAACAAAAAACCCAACCCTGGCCCAGAGGTCTTCTAGTTCCTAATTCAGGGTGAGAAATTGGCTGGGTAGTGAGCACTCTATGAACCAAGCGTTGTGGCTCCAGCTGGGAAATATTCAGGCTCTTGCTTCTCCTTTTCCCTTTTCTCCTTCTTCCCTGGGGTTTCAAATAGTTTCTTTGCCCCTTTCCAAACATAACTTCTAGATGCTTGAAGGTTTGGGGCCTACAACTGGACTTAGTATGGTCAGGGCATTTAACGTGCTAGGAATATTTAGTCAACAAACAGTTCTTGAGCTCCTACTTTGTGCCAGGCACTGGCCTAGGCCTTGGGAGACAGCCGTGAGCCAGTCAGTCAGAGTCCCATACCTCGTGATGCTGACATTCTAGGCGTCATCCTCCACAGGCTTAAAGTCCAGTTGTAGAGTGGAGGCAAACACACAAAAGATGTCTGAAGAAGTGCTGAAATGGGACAATGTAAAAAAAAATAGTCCTGAGCCTCCCCTCTAGTGGTTCAAGGCTCTGAGGTGAAAAGGCTTGAAGCTACTGACTCTGAGATTTGGAGATTCTGTGGGTTTCCATGACCCCGGCTCCTGGTTGCCAAGGGTAACCCAGAGGCAGCTGCAATGATGACCTTAGATGTGGCATTGGAGGACCACTCTGCAGAGCTTCTGCCAGTCAGAGTATTGCGGGAGGGAGCTGGTGAGTATTGGCAACTGTGATCTTGCTATCCATAGAGACTGGTGCCAGGTAACCATGTACCTGTCAAATTCCAGCATCCACAGCTTCTTGGTGAACGCTGTAGCCCCATTGTATACAGATGGGTAAATGGAGCCCTGACTCCATTTAGATTGAGACAGCTCTTCAGAAAGGAGCCCAGGCCCTGTAGAGTCCAGGTATCCCTGATCCCTGATTCAATTTAAAATAATGCTCTTTCCTTCCTGTTTTGTAGACCAGTGCTTCTCAGACTTCAATGTGGAAGGCTTGTTTAAACACAGATTTCTGTGCTCCACCCCCAGAATTTTTGACTCAAAGAGTCCGGAGCGGGCTCAGTAATTTGAATTTTTAACAAGTTCCCAGGTGATGCTAATGCTCTAGGCCCCGGGACCCGCAATGAGAGAACCACTGTGTTAGAACAAGGGAAAGTGAGTGATTTTCTCGAGATTATACAATGAGGGAGCCTGGAACAAAGGCTGTGATTGAGCTCTAGGAACTCCCAGAATTCACCTATGCATGATCCCCTCTCCTTTACCTCCCAGGAGGCCATAGAATTAAAAGAATATTTTATCTTCATCAGTACACATACAGAGAGAATATATTGCAATATAATTAGGGAATAAATAGGTGTTGTGTGTTGGATGTAGACTCCATGCCCTGTGGCTCTGCGGGGGTTTATTATAGCACTGTTACAATTGTAAAGGTGTCATCCACTCCAAGAGCCCCTCATGAAACTTTCATGGCCCCGGTGGTCATTGTCCTGAAAGGCATGTCTTCCTCATTTAAAAGAAAGAAAGAGAGATTGCTTCTCTGGCTAATGGGGCTATCTGTGTTTCATTTGACAGCAACTATGTAATGTGTTTTTAAGGGGCAGAGAAAAAAATTGAACAGTGTGAACAGAGAGGGACTGGAGGAGGTCCACCTCACAGGTATACAGATCTGTTTGTGGAACATTTCAAAATGTTTTGAAACTGTCTGTCTGTTTCACCTGTGTTTCTGATGGGAAGCTGTATCTCAGCAGGAGGAAAGGAGAGTTTGTGTCTCACCTTAGCTGGTTGGGTAAATGTAAAAACACATTTTATCCCCAATGTGTTAATTAGACCCCAAAGAAAAGAACCATAAAAGAGTTGTTCTACTAAATGCTGGTATTTTTCATCTGGATTCTATTTATTATTTTACTGTCGAGAAGGAGCAAAAAAAAAATCCATGTTTTTATAGCAAATAAAGCTGGCTGCAGTAATTATGCAGGCTCAACATATTTGTTCTGGAGCAGGAAGTTGGAACTCAGCCTGACTCTCAAACATTTGGGTGAGATCTAATTGAGAAAGACATTTCAAAGAACAAATATTTAGGAATGCGGAGTTTCGCTGATGGTCTCTCTGGGCTAAGCGTGAGTCCCTCGCTTTTAGCTTGATCCTTAGAGGTGGTGCCTGGTGATGGGGAAGGACATGGTTGGTAGTATTGAGACCACAGTCCAAACGTGAGGCTGAAATTTAGAGATAATCAGTGAGTCTGAGTAAAGGGAAGAAAGATGCCTTCAGGGAATATATCCTTTGTAACTGATGAGCAAAGGGAGAATCAATGAATCAGAGATAGATTGAATACTTATTGAACGTCTAATCTTGGGAAAGGAACAATGAGGGCAGGGACCAGGACTTTTACTTGTATATCTCCCATAATGCTTGGCTCAGTACCTGTAGTGACAAGAGCCCTTGATTGGAGTGGGTATCAGTCAGGGCTGCAAGTAGCAAAAAACCTGAACACAACTGGCTGAAACAATAAGGAACTTAGTATCTCCCAGTACAACAGGTGTGGGCTGTCTGCCCCAAGCTTAGTTCTTTCAGTGGTTCAACAGCATCATCAAAGGTTCAGATTCTTTTCATCTTTTCTTGGTCTCATGGTCACAAGATGGCTGTAACAGATCCATGTATTACACCTTTACAATATGCAGAGGCAGAAAAGGCAGGAGGGGAACCTTTACCAGAAG